TTAAAATTTTTATTATTTTTATTTTATGTGTATGCGTGTATTGCTTGCATGTAGGTAAGTGCACCCGTGTTGTGCAATGCCTGCAGAGATTAGAAGAGGCTGTCGGATCCCCTGGGACTGGAGTTACGGACAGTTGTTAGCTGCTGTATGGGTGCTGGGATTCAAACCTGGGTCTTCTGCAAGAACAACCAGTGTTCTTAACCGCTAAGCCATCTCTCCAGCCCCATAAAAACTCTTTTAAGAAAGGTGTTGGAAGTTGGGCATGGTGGCGCATGCTTTAGATCCCAGTACTCAGGAGGCACAGGCAGGCTGATACTTGTGAGTTCAAGGCCAGCCTTATCTACTTATCAGTTCAGGCCAGCTGGGACTACAGGCAGACTGTGTCTCAGAAAGAACCCCCTCCCCTGCAAAACAAAGGAAGGTATGGAAAAGCCACTACCCCTTGATTTAAGTTGTTTTTTTTTTTTTTTTAAAGTATTCAGAGTTTATTTAAAGCTAAAGCATTTTAATTATATTTTCTTTTGAAAAAATTTTTTGAAGAAAAAATTTTGAGACAAAGTCTAGCTGTGTGACCCTGGTGAACCTGGAAGTTGCCTTGTAGACCAGGCTGGCCTTGAACTTGTAATTCTTCTGCCTCTCCCACCAGAGTCTTCTTTTCAAAGTGTTATCCCTAGGACAGGGCCGTGAGAAGTTTCTCTGTTTCTGTGAGGGAAAGTTAGAGATGATGTTGGTGATGTACTGACTGCGTTCTGTCTTGCAGTTGACTGGATTGTTGCAGATATGCTGGCCGCCAGGCAGGGTGCTCTTGGACACGTGCGCTACGTTCTGAAAGACAAGTTAAAGTGGCTTCCATTGTATGGCTTTTACCTCGCTCAGGTAGCCCTTGTATTCTTCCTTGTTCTTTTAAAATTTAACATTACTTAATAAAAGTATGTGATTTTCATTGTTTTATGATACTAGTGATTGAACTGGGGCCTTTTGACTACTAGGCAAGTGATCTTCCACTGACCTACATCCCAGGTCCAGATTTTTTAAAAAAAATTTTTTTAATTTATTTATTTTATTTAGTGTATAAGAGTTATACCTGCCTGTGTTTAAGTGCACTGTGTTGTGCAGTGCGTGCAGAGGACAGAAGAGGGTATCAGATGCCCTGGAACTCTAGTTACAAATGGTTGTTAGCCAGCATGTGGGTGCTGGGATTCAAACTTGGGTCTTCTGCAAGAATAGCTAGTGCTCTTAACCACTGAGCCATCTCTCCAGCTCCAGTCAGATGTTTTCACAATAACTTTTAGTAGCTTATTAAGTTTAAATATTTTTGTTTGGTTGTGTGTGTGTGTGTGTGTGTGTGTGTGTGTGTGTGTGTAGTACACATGTTCATGGGTGTGTTTGTGTGTGTAGCACATGTGGGTGGTTGAGGAGGACACAGAACAACCTGAGTGTCACTCCTATCTTGCCATTCCTGGGATGACAGGTGTATGCCACTGTGCCCAGCTTTTTGTGTGGGTTCTAGGGATCGAAACTCAGGGCTTCCTCACATTTGTGACACAAAGCACTTTCCCAGCTGAGCCATCTCCCCAGGCTTTATTTGGGGTTCTTAATGATGTATGTCTATATACGTATAAACATAGTTAAACGGGCTAGTAAAAATGCAAACATCCAGAAGTCGAATAAGAAACTAAAAAGCATAGAATTTGATAATCGGTTATGTTAAGAAATTAATGCAAAAGATCTGTAGGACATAAAACCAAATGGTGAGCTGAATATGTAAATTGATGAGTGTGAAGAAAATTATTTTCTCACAGTTCAGGTTCAAGGTGTAGGTGGTTTTGGTTTCTTTGAGGCCCTTCTTTTGACTTGTAGACTGTGGCCCTCTCCCTGGGTCCTGAGCTAGCCTATTTTGCATGCATATACATTCCGGGTATTTGTTTCTCTCTGGAGGATGCTGGTGCACTGGGTCAGGGCCCCAGCTTGGCCTTATTTCATTGAACTGTAATTATTTTCTTAAAGACACTTACTACTTCCATATATAGTCACCATAGAGGTTAGAGCTTCAGGATATGACTCAGGTGGGAACAAAGTCTAGCCTGCCAGGGTCCTACATACATCTCTGCACCTCGATCTATATTTTAAGTTCCTAAAGAGTGTGAGTATTGGTATTTTAAGATACTTTTTATTGATTCTGTAATAAGTCAGTAGAAAATAAAGATTCATCTAATCAAGTTTTTGGTTTAAATCTTTTAAAGAAAGAATTTTTTTTAATTGCTGGCAAAACTAAATGTTCATGTGTTTTCTAGTACAGTGTAGAATGCAGTTTTCCTCGGGTTCTGTTGGAACAATTTTCAGTTACATATTGTGTAAATGGTAATATTTAAATGAGCTATGTGTTTCATAAGTTCTGAAATGCAGTTTTATTCTTTACTCTTTGGGAGTAAAGTTGCCTTTTTGATGACTGTGGTGATTGGTTATCTAAAGAGTAATTACTTCCCTTCTCTTTTTTATGCACAGCATGGAGGGATTTATGTAAAGCGAAGTGCCACATTCAATGAGACAGACATGAGACGCAAGCTGCACAGCTACGTGAGCACAGGAACCCCAGTAAGAGCACTGTTTTCATTCTTCATGCGACCACCATCTACCGTCACCGTGAAAATGCAGTGCTCCATGTGGAGGGAAGGATTCAGAGTTGTGTTCTGACAACTAAAACTCCTCTAGACAGAGGCAGACTGTCCTCTTGGCTGTCAGGAAAGGTGGCTACGGAGGATTAGGTCTTTTTGTGGTCATTTTCAGTTTGCCTTATGGAGGAATAAGAAGAATATGTCTTTTGTGTGTAAATAGAAAACAGTGGCCTCACCCTTAAATTCCTAGAGCCAGTCTTCATATTAGATTCTCTTCTCGGAGAAGCAACTGTTTTCTGTCTTGCAAATCTGGAGATTTTATATATAAAAAATATATTAGCTGGGCATGGTGGTGCACATCTTTAATCCCAACACTTGGGAGGCAAAGGCAGGTGTGATCTCTGAGTTTGAGGCCATCCTGGTCTACATAATGAGTTCCAGGCCAGCTGGAACTCATATATATATGATAATATATATATACACACACACATACATATGTATGTGTAAATTGAGTTTCAGAAACCAAAAATGTAAAGTATCTCCAAATGAAAAATCTTTCAGTTTGAATATTTTACAAAACTTTTCTCCATAAAGGGAAAAAAAAAATAAGCAAAAAGCCTCAGTCTTTTATTTCGAGAATGCTGATTGCTGCCAAATGCTTTTTCCCATGACTTCCTCCCTGTATAGACCAATGTGGTTGTGGTGAGGATTTGTAAGTTCTTTTCTTTCCTCTGGTCCACTTCCCTGCCCTTTTGTGCTCCCCTTACCAGGGCTCAAGCTTCAGCCAGAGCTCCTAGTTGGCTGGTGTGGTTGTTGCTTGCTCCTGGATGTCTTGTCGGAGTTTCTACATAGGAAGTTGCACCCACTTTGGGAATGGAAAGGGGTAGGTTGTATGGCATGAGCAGCGACCCTTGTCTGATGGAAGAGCAGAAAGCTGTAGCCACCTTGCCCGGAGAACAGGTTCTTCTAAGATGCAGCTGCAGAGCCAAGCCCTGGGAGGCAGCCCACTGCCCCAGGTCTTAGGTCCCTAAGGCAAGAAGAAGAGCAGGTGACAGTGGTGTCCTGTGCCAAGAACTGCACTCAGATCTTGTGCGTTGTTGCCTTCTGTTTTTATCATCTCTCGTGAAGTGTGGGTGCCATCAAACTTCTCTTTCTAGGTGGGGATCTTAAAGCAGAAAAAGATAAAGGAGTTTATTCAGGGTCTTGAGGCCTATAGGCAGACGGGCTGGGGTTTGCAGCTAGAGACTCAGGCAGTGCATTTAATTGCTCTTCTCTCTCCAGTTACACTCTTTGTAAATTTGGTGTCCTGTCGGTCATGAACTATATGGAGTACTGGCCATAAAATTGCATGTAATATTTAGCATGACTTTATATGCGAAATTATATTTTACTCTTTTTAAGGTAACTCTTACTTTAATAATTATTTCCTTAAAAAATTTGGATCTGAAGGCAGAGCGTGGTGGCACACGCCTTTAATCCCAGCACCTGGGAGGCAGAGGCAGGTGGATCTCTGTGAGTTCGAGGCCAGTCTGGTCTACATAGTGAGTTCCAGCACAGCTGGGGCTACAGAGAGACCCTGTCTCAAAAAGACCAAAAAAAAAAAAAAAAAAAAAAATTGGATCTGGCGTAGTGTGGTGGCATACACCTGTGACCCCAGCACTCAGGAGGTTGAGGCAGGAGTGTGAGGATTTCAGAGTTATCCTTAGCTACATCCCATGTTGGAGACCAGGCTGGGCTGCTTGAGACCCTGACTCAAAAAGATGAAAATGGCAAAAATTCAATTGAAAAAAAACAAGCATACAAACAGAAATTTGTATTCTTACCTGTGGATGATAGGCATAGTGATTTCTTTGTGTTGTATCTTTTTATTGTTGTTTAAAATGTTCAGATCTTCTTCATAGAGACCATAAACTTTATCACATTGTTGGGTGCCATTCTTCCATTTCTCTTTTGAGGTACACTCACATGAAATTCTTAAATTAATGAAAAGATTTAAAAAATATATATATATGCACACACACACACACACACACACACATATATATATCCATGAAAGTGGATCTGTGATTTGGGGAGCTGACGTAAACAATTATTCTAACTGCTTTCCCTTCTAGTGATGGCGATGATGGATTTTTGGGTTGTCTGTGTCTGACTGTGTGTGGGTGTGCATGTGCAGGTGCTCGTGGAGACCAAAGATGGCGGGTCCCCTGGAGCTATAATTATAGGCAGTTATGAGCTGCCTGATGTGGGTAGAGAACTCGGGCACTCTGTGCCAGCAGTAAGTGCCCTTAAAGGCTGAGCCATTTCTCCCACCCTGAGATAATGAATTTTATTTTTGATTTTTTTCCTGATTTTAATCAATTTTTCTGTATTTCTTAGAAGATCTGGCTGATCTTCATTTTCAAGTATGAGGAAATACAGCACGTGTTAATTTCTAAATTGGGTAATGATAATGGTTCTGAAAAGGCTTCTCTGGGTTAGTTGCATGGGAGCTGTGTCAGTGGCCAAACTAGGAGAAGAAGGGTCTGTTCTGACTTGTGGTCTGCGCGGTCTGCCATGGCTGGAAGGCATGACAGCACAGCGTGGCAACGAGCACGAAGCTCCTGCTCACATCTCAGTGGATGTGGAAACAGAATGGAAGGGGCCACCCCAGCCTCAAGGCCCACCTCACAGTGGCTCACTTTCAGCGAGGCCCCAATAAAGACTCCATGACTTCCAAAACAGCACCATGAGCTAGGGGCCAAGTCTTCAAATTCATGAGCCTGGAGTAGACATTTTGCTTCTAACAGTAACACTTCATCCCTGGCCCCATAAGTTCATGGCCATCTTATAATGACAAATGTATTTAGTTCAACTTTGAAACTCCATAGTCTTAGAGTTCCAATACTGTTCAAAATTACAAAGTCTTCTAAGACTTAATACAGATTCTTTCTTGTGAACTCCTGAAAAATCGAAAAGCCGAGATATATATTTCCAGTGTACAATGGCACAGAGTAAACATTGTTCGTTCGAAAAGACAGTCATGAGAGCACAGTAGGAAGGGTGAGACCAAAGCAAGTTCAAAACCCGCAGTGCAAACAGCAAACTCTGAGGTTCCATGTCTCCACCTTGGGCTCTGGCGGCATCATTTAATGAGCGCTCTTGGACTTGGTAGGCCTGCTCCTGTCTGTGATGCACATGTGGCCTCTCTTCTTTCTGTGTCTGGTTCTGTTCAGTGCCTGCAGCATTCCTGGGTTAGGACAGCAATGTCCCACATTTTGGGGGTCTTCATTGCAACTCAGGTGTGGCTGTCATAGCTTCACTTACAGCCCACTCAAGCTCTCTGCAGGAAATGCAACCCTGCTACCTCCTGGTCTCATTAGCTTCCTGGAACCCTGGTGCAAGCCTCAAGCCTCTATCACCTCCCCCCCCCCCACACACACACCCGCATGCGCCCTTATGGGCCTGTACATCAGCACCAGCTCATGCTGCTGCCGAGGTCTGTTGCTCGTTCGAGATACAGACTAGCCTTTTTAGACCACAGTAAGAGTGGTTTCTGAACCCCTTGAAAGCTGAACTTTGGAAAACACTTTCCTGGGTGGTTGTTGGAGAAGGGACTCTGCCACGAGTCGCTCTCAGTTCAAATTTGATCCTCTCAAACAAAGTCGCTTTTTTATAAGCTGGAGCCCTGTGTGGGTGGGGCCTTTCCCTCAGGGCATTTCTCCCTGGTCTCATACAGAAGGTAAAGTTCTTCTGCAATTCTGGACTGCTTCCCTCTCCACACCTGCCCTGTCCACAATCTTAAACTCATTCACCATCCTTTGGTTTCCAAGTCCCACACTGGTTTCAGATCTGTCTGCTCTTTTTCACTGTAAACTGTACCAAGTAGTGAGAAATGATCATGCCAGAGCCTGGGTGGTATTCTGTCTTGAAGTTTCCTTCACCAAATTATTCCATTGCTTTGAATTTAGCCCAGCTCAAATGATCAGAACCTGGACAAGATGGAGCTAGATTCTTTGCTAGAACTTGACCCGAATAGCCTCTTAGCATAATTTCCAGTAGCTGTTGACCCCTTCTGAAACCTCATGAACCTGGTCTCTGCCGTCTGCATTTCTTTTATAATTTCTGATTGTCTAAGCTACCACCAGAATGGCTGGTTAAGCTCTGATTACTTTGTTCTAGGGCTTCTGTAACCAGTAGCCTCAAAGTCTTCCATATTCCTCCTACAAGCTGGCCCTGAAGGCCTAAGAGCCATGTGGTCAGGGTTATTATAGAACAACACCACTCTTAGCACTGATATTCTGTATTGCTTTCTCTTCCGGTGCTCTAGTCAGATACCTTAAGAACCAACTTAAGGTCTGGAGAGGGCCTGGTGGTTAAAAGTACTGGCTCAGTTTCCAGCACCCACATGGTGGCCAACAACCATCTCTAATGCCAGTTCCAGGGGATTTGATGCCCTCCTCTGTCCTCCACGGACATTGCAGGATAACAGGTACACTTACAAACATGCAGGCAGTACACTCATACACATGAAATAAAATAATAAAGTTTGTTTAAAAAGAAGCAGCTTGGGGCTGGAGAGTTGGCTCAGTGGTTAAGAGCACTGACTGCTCTTGCAGAGGACCCAGGTTTGATTCCCAGCACCCACATGGTGCCTGTGAACTGTCCTCCAGTTCCAGGGGAATCCAAAGCCCTCTTCTGACCTCCATGGCATTGCACAACACAGGTGCACTCACATACATGCAGGCAATACACTCATACACATAAAAATAATAAAATATTTTATATGTATACATACATACATATATATATATATATAAAAGAAGCAGCTTAAGGAAAGGAGCTTATTTTGGCTCATGTGGTCCTCTCCATCATGCAGGGTAGTCACAGTGACAACTGTGGCAGCAAGAGCCTGAGCCTGTTGGCTCACATCTCTGTGGGACTGGAAGGGCCCACCCCTCAGTGACTCTTCCTTCAGTTAGGTCCCATATCCCAAAGGTTCCGTAACCTCTCAAAACAGTGCCACCAGCTGGGACCAGGTAGGTGTTCAGAACAGCCCATGGGGGATTGAGATGCAGACCAAAGGAGCTGAGGACGGAGCCTGCAGAGGTGCTGCTGTACCTGTCCACTGTTTGAGAGGAATGGGCATTGCTCGGGTTTATTCATAAACTGAGATTCTCCCCAGTTAGGAGTCCCCTTGCTTCTTGTTTGCAGGGAGGCAGTTCTGTTGGGGATGTTCAAGCAGGGGTACGTTGACGAAGTCTTCCCCGTGCACTCCTATCCTATTCCTGTTCTGTCTATGTGAAAGGGTGATTTCTTTGTTTTTGTCTGTTGGCCATCAATTAAAAATAGTGTCATTTTCACAACTGTGTTCTCAAGAGCTTTCTTACTGCATGATGTTAGTGTCTTTATTTTTACTTTCCCAAGGCCCTGAGTATGAACCCTTGGACTAGTTGATTACTTAGTGTCTGGATTGAGATTCCCTTTTACTCCCAGGTGTTCCGTTTTCTCTGTTTACGTGGTGACTGTGAGGTTGCCTAACGCAGTTTAAAATGCATTAGAGAGCTCTGTAAAATGGGAATGCCGTGTGAGCCTTTGAAGTACAGACACTAAATTTATATGTGATTTTCTTCAAATGAGACATACCGCTGGCCTGGATGCTTACAGACATCTAACTAACCCTTACACTCCTGTAGTGGTGGAAGAACGTGGGTGGGGATGGTTGGTGTACTCTGTGCACGTGTGGAAGTACCCTGAATTCCACTAACATGTACAAAAGAAGTGCTAATAAAACTTTTAATGCAGAAATCCAGTGTTATGTTACAGGATCTTGGGAGGGGTCTGTTTTATTAATTACAAGGTAGATTTCATGGTCAAATTTTAAATGAATGACCATTAGCATGCTCTCAAAAATAGTTTTAGATTTTTAAAGATTAACCTACCATAAACGTAGGGCTTCGTTTTATTACAGTCCTTGTTATGTTCAGACTTAGTTGAATCATTGCATTTTGGTTACTCTACTTAAAATAAAGGTCACTTGTAAATGAATACACATCTTCCCATCATAGGAAACACTATGTTAGCAGTGATAGACTTAGCATGGTAAGCCAACAGTAATAACAATAGGGCTCATATAAACGGAATTTCCTTTATGCCCCACAGATGTATCTTGTGATTTTTCCAGAAGGAACAAGGTATAATCCAATGCAGACGAAAATCCTTTCAGCTAGTCAAGCATTTGCTGCTCAACGGGGTAAGTAAACATTTTGCTATGTTCAGAAAAATTCTTTTTAAGGAGAATAGGTTTGTTTTAAGCTGTTCTTCCTGTTTTACAATTAAATGGAAGATGTGTGAACTTTTAGAAAATGGAGTTTATTCTTTTAAGAGTTTTGATTTTTATTTTATGTGTATGAGTGTTTTATCTGCATGTATGTAAGCACACCCATGTGTGCAAGAGTTATGGATTGTTGTTAGCTGCCATATAGGTGCTGAGAACCAAAGATGGGTCCTCTGCAAGAGCAGCCAGTGCTCTTAACTGCTGAGCCATCTCTTCGGCCCCCATGAAGTCTATTTTTAATTCATATCTGAAGTTAGATTTAGGTGCTTGCTATGATACATACTCATATACTGTGGACTGAGGTAGACTCTAAGTACATGATTACATGAGTGTATACTTTCTCTACAGTGTGGGTTATGTGTGATGGAAATTGTACTTCATAGGTTACATACCAAAGTTGGAATATAGACTTGGACTTTTATTAGCTTCATGATTACAAATTACCTAATGTTATTAAACATTAGTTTCTTCTTTCTTAAAACCTCTTGGGTAAAATAAATCTGTATAATAATTAAATTAGCAGATATGTGAAGATCCCTTTGGACTGTCTTTCACAAATTTGCTTTATAGTCCTTGAAACTATTAGTAAGGTCTACATCAGTGGGAATGATTTTTATGACCCTGTTTTAGAAAAGCGGATAACTACAACCCAGAGAAGCTTTATAGTGTAGCTGGCATGGGAGCTACTCAGGACAGCTTCCTGATGTGCAGAGAGAGCGGTCTGCGCTCTCCACATGGGACGAGCAGGCCCTGTGTGCCGGGCTCTGACAGGGCCGTCTCCAGAACTTCCTGCAGCCGTGGGAATTACCTGCGCTGTCCAGTGCTCTGGCCCTGTCTCATGTAGTTAGGGGGTCTTCCAGCTTGACTGCTTCAGGGAAATGAATTTTTAGTTTTCCTTGATTTCAGTTTAATTAACATTTAAAGTGTAATTTGAGCTAATTTAAACAGCCCCATTTGGCTACGGGCAGATCTGGTAGTGCAGGTATGTGTGGTGCATGGAACTCTTGCAGGAGGAGGCGAACACGTACGAAGTACTTCCCAAATGTGTTCTTTTTTAAGGTTTTTTTATTTGTTTCCCTGCATGTATGTAACTGCACTGTGTGCATGAAATACACTTGGAGGCCATTAGGAGGTTTGGCTCCCTTGAAGGTGGAGTTCCAGGTGGTTGTGAGCCGCCGTGTCAGTGCTGGCAGCTGAACCGGATCCTCTAGAGCAGCCAGCGCTTCTAACTGCTGAGCCATCCCTCCAGCTCCCACAACTTATTTCCTAAATGCTGGCTTGCCCCACTTCTGGTGCCTGGCTCCTGGGTCAGCGTGTGGCATGGGACCCACACAGGCAGTTTCCTCCTGGTGCTGCCTTGGTTGCTGTGTGGTTCTGCTCTTTTGCTTTTTTATCTTTTTGCTCTTTTCCATTGTCTTTGTTGCCCTTTTTAATTGAAAAGGGAAAAACCCCATCCCTCCTGCTTCATTTCATCCCTGCAGTTCCTTTGCAGCATCCTCCCTTCCCCTCCAGTAGTAAACAAATTCTGGTTTTGGAGGTACTGGAGAGGGAACCTATAGCAGTACACTTGGTAGGCAAGTCTGTAGTCCTGAGCTGTCCTAGCCAGCAGCCAGTGCTGTAGTCCTGAGCTGTCCTCCTAGCCAGCATCCGGGCGCTGTAGTCCTGAGCTGTCCTCCTAGCCAGCAGCCAGTGCTGTAGTCCTGAGCTGTCCTCCTAGCCAGCATCCGGGCGCTGTAGTCCTGAGCTGTCCTAGCCAGCAGCCGGGTTCTCCCATCTGGAGGCTGCCCTCCTTGGGTCCACTTTCACAGTTTGCTCCTGCTCGGTTCATGGTGTCTCGTGGGAGTTCTCTTCCTGTCCCTCTCTAAGACTGATCTCCTGCCTCCGGTTCCTTCCTCTGCTTCCTGGGTTCCTTTGGCACCTCCTTCCTTCTGCTTCATACATTGTTTCTAATGTCTTTTGACCTTTCATTTTTTCAGTTTTTGTGTTTTCTATGGTTAAATTTATAGCTTTATTTATTTGAGTACTTGTAACTCACAAGTGGTAGCTTCAACCCCCAAACTGTCACCTTTTATATCTCTCTGTCCAACTCTGGATTTGTATGTGTTGTTGCTCAGTAGAGAACTTTATCTGACTGGTCCAAGGGCACATCACCAGCTCAGTATATCAAGGATGGTTTTACCCGTTCACAGGTCAGCCCCCATTGCTCGCCTGTGTCTCCACCGTTCAGTCTAAAACTAGAAGATCTGCTCTTACCAACCAAAGCATTTAATCAGAAAAATCTAGTTTTTTTCCATTCCCACAATTACTAACATACTTTAAAATATTACTAGTGTTTGTTTGAGTAATCCCTTTGTCAGAAACCACTCAGGAACAGTGACAGCCTGGCCTGGTGGTGCAGGCCCGTAAAAAAGACCTTCACTTTTTCCTTGTTCTTTCTAAACCTTGTTTATTTTTGGTTTAATTCTAACATCCCTCAGCTACTTTGGAGGCTGAGGCAGGAGGATTGCAAATTCAGGACCTACCCAAGCTATAGAATATATTCAAGACTAGCTTGGGTAATTCAGTGACACTGTGTCAAAAAATTTTTTTAAAGGGCTGGGAGTAGAGATCACTGATGACATGCTTGTGTTGTAGCATTCAGAACAGAACAAAGCAACTGGAATTTGCTACAGTCTGTCCTTTGGAAGGGTTTGACAAGGATGGCTCATCTCTGTGTCATATGGTCAGCTGTGGTCTCATTTTACTGCATGGTTTAGCAGGGGCTTGCTTGGCGTTGGAGAGTGCGAGATGGCATGCCGTGTCTCGTGTTTTGGTTGGGGTGGCTGTTAGCTCAAAGTAGCCGGTCTCTCCTTTCAAAATTCTGCTCAACTTTTCCTTGCATAAACCCGTTGCTGACTGCTTCTTTCATTTTATTATTATTTTAATTATTAACATACCAGTTGTACAAATTAATGGGTTTCACTTCAGTTTTTCTTATTTACCAACTATTCAGTTTTCTTATTTACCAAGTATCACGACAGTGGGTTTGGTCCTTGGTGGACATTACCACTAGCTCTGGAGTATTTCCAAGCATGTGTTAGTTACATAACCTTGGATGGATTTATTTCTTTTAGTCTCTTTCCTTATTTGTAAACGAGAGATGGTAAAAGTGACTGTGTAGGGCTTTTGTGAGTGACTTAGTCTGGCACATAACATAAATATATGTATATAGCATATACATAATCACATGTGTTTGTCTAATAACTTAGAAACTGGAGAAGGACCTCTACACTCAGGTCTTTTACTATATTGATGGCTGATGCTCAGAGATAAGGCCCAAGAAGGCTGCGCTGCGGACCCCAAACTAGCCATTTTGGTTACTTCATAAAGGACAAAGCTGTATGTATCCTACAGCCAGCCACATGTGCTTGAGAACTGTGAATCATGGAGCAGGTAAAATCGAGTTGCCATCACGGCTGTGGGACTCTCGGGCTCTGGAGGCAGTGCTGTTTTCCTGCTCAGGGTCTGGTATGTTATGTTCCTGATGTGTCTGGAAATAGCTCTGCGTCCCCCAAGTGATGAGCTGACTCTTTCGTCCTCTTTCTTGCTCTTGTTTCTGAACCTTGTTTATTTTTGGTTTAATTCCAATTTTTCTTTCTAGACTCCCTGCATCTCCTGTTTGCACAGTAGGTCTGCCTGGGCTGTGGAGTCCACTCTTTAAAAAAAAAAAAAGTTACATTTATTTATTGGGGGTGGGTATACATGCCACAATATGTATTTGGAGGTCAGAGGACAACTTTTAGGAGTCAGGTCTCTCCTACTACATGGGTCCCCAGGGATTGAACTCAAATCATTAGGCTTAACTGCAGGTGCCCTAATCCACTGAGCCATCTCACCAGCCCTTATCCTTTATATTTTAAAAAGAAAATGGATGTTGTCTAAGTCTTTTTGTACCTCTTCATCTTCATCCTCTGTTCTTTACAATTCTTAACCATTGCCATTAATTCAGTTTTTATATCTATTCAAAGAATTCCCAAATGCTTATCTCTGGCTCATTTTTTCCATTTTGCAGACTATATTTCCACCTATTCTTCGAATGCCATATTACTTGAACTCACTCAGTTTAGACTCATGTCCTCCTGTTCTGCACAGTGGGGTGTGCGCAGACGCCCTCAGCTCTTCTTAACCACGCTTTGCCTTGTTAATGATACAGCTATCTGCCTTGTAATCTTCTCAGTCTTTTCGTTATGATGGTATTTGACTACTTCCTAGGTCTAGTATGTGTGCGTCACTGACCACATTTCTCCCTTCATTACCTGTCCGAGCTTCACAGACCCTCCAGGTCTCTACCTCGCCCCCTTGTCCATGTGCCTTGTCCTTACTCTGGTGTAATAATACGCCTGGACCCGCCTAGCACCTTCCCAGTGTCTGTGTCAGCCCTGGCGTCGGTCATGGGTGCTTTCTCACAGATTCCTGTGCAGCATTGCTGCGTCCGCAGAGTACTGTGTGTCTCTCAGGACAGCCTTGTTTTGCCTCTTCGCTCTCTCCCTGCACGCTCGAGCTTTCAACAGTGCCATCCTCATTTTTGCCTGTGGAGTACAAAAGGTTCTGAACCAGACAGAATAGGGTCTTGCTAGCTCTTCATATTTTTATTTAAAATTTTTAAAAAATTAGTTAAATTTTTGTGTATATGAATGTTGTACCTGCATGTCTGTAAGTGTACCATATGTGTAAGGTGTACCATATGTGTACAGTGCCTGCAGAGACCAGAGAGGGTGCTGAATCTCCTAAAAATGGAATTATGGTCAGCTGTGAGCTACCGTGGAGGTGCTGAGAGACGAGCCCGGGTCCTTTGCCAGAGCAGCAACCACTGAGCCATCTCTCTCCCCAGTGAGCCATCTCTCTCCCCAGTGAGCCATCTCTCTCCCCACTGAGCCATCTCTCTCCCCACTGAGCCATCTCTCTCCCCACTGAGCCATCTCTCTCCCCACTGAGCCATCTCTCTCCCCTCTGAGCCATCTCTCTCCCCTCTGAGCCATCTCTCTCCCCTCTGAGCCATCTCTTCAGCCTTCCACCCCCTTTAAAATTTTTCTTTGGATTGCCACCTGTTCGTTTTGAGAAAGCCATTTTACCTATGTAGGCCTCAGTTACTTAGTTTGTGGGAGTCAAGTAAGAGACTATGTTAAACATGTTGCAGATTGAGTTCTGTGTATAAATGTCAAGTTCCCTACATCAGTCTTTCAGGGTTTTCTGTCTCGTGTGTTATCTATTTATAATGATTCCAAAATACAATACAGCAAAATTTCAATTATGTTCTGAGGGAGAAACTCCACCGAAGAGTGTAGCTGGTTCTCTTCAGCATGAAAGAGAAGGTATATTATCCTTATTTGGTCCCTGTTTTTGAAAAAAGTTTTGTTAGACATGACAGCTATGACTTCTCTACTTCTGATTCATTTGAAATGAGGCTCATAGTAAGTGAGGAGACCTAGGGAGGCGCGCACCAGTACAGACACAAGAGCCACTGGGAAGGACTGTCAGAGGCTCCTTTTTGAGACAATTCCTTTTTGACTAGTTTTTAAAATTGGCTGATAAGATAGTGGGGTTTCTTGTATCATTTTCGTATGTACATGATCCTCCTTGGCCCCGCCTCCCCCTCTTCCTGGAGCCTCCCTCTCTGTTCTCAGCCATCTGTGTTCCATTGCCCCTTCCTCCATCTCCCAAGAGTTCTTCTCTCATGGACCCCTTTTTAGTTTTATCTCAATACACACACACACACACACACACACACACACACACACACACACACTCCTTAAAATCTAGAATCTACAAATAAAAGAAAGTGTGTGGCATTTACTTTTCTCTCTGACTTGATTTCATTTTTTTTCTTTATGGCTGAATAAAATGCCATTGTACATCTGCAGCACACTTTATCCATTCGTCTGTTGATGGATTTCTAGGGTGATTCAACATCTTTGCTTTTGTGAACAGTACAGTAATAAAATTGTGCAAATATCTCTGTTGTAGGACAGAAGCCTTCATGTGTGTACCCAGGAGTGATATAAATACATTAGGAAGAATTAATTAGCTAATGACTTAAAGTTTCAGGATAGTGAAAGCCACATGATGCTTTAGAATTGAAATCTACCTGAAAGGATCATAACCTGTTCGTCATATAGACTAGAGGAAGTCGTGGTCTTTGACTTAGGAGGATGAGCTCCTTCTCAGAAGGCCAGGCTTTGTCCTAGTTGTAAACACAGTTTGTGTTCTTGTAATTGGAAATTAGCAGGCTGAGTGTTAATAAGTACACTTAGGGAAGAATTTGCTGTGTTTTTTCTTCTCGTCTTACACACGGATTCCTCACTTGATCCCAGTAAAAGCATCGATCAGGCCATGGTTTCAACTCTCCTGAGTGTACTGGAGACTGTGCCTGCCTGCTATCCCAACACCTGGGATCATAACCTTGAGGCCAGCCTGGGCTACATAGCAAGACACTGTCTCCAAAAGTAAAAACAACGGTTAAGATGACTTACAGCGTCCACTGCCAACAGTCATGTTGGGTGTGGCATTTCTGCTTCCTTTTTTGGCTCTGCTTACGTGAAAAGCCTGTCACATATTCATCCGTCTTAAAGCTGGATTTTTGCAGAAGTTCATTATAGTTCATTTTCATCACACATTACCTTTCTGTCTTCCTACAATGTAGAGGGATTGTAATCATTAATAGTTCTACTGAACACGACATGGTGGATCTGTAAAACTCCTGACACTGGATGGTCTCTCGTGGCAAAGAAGGAAACACAAAACACGTATAAATCAGTTGACAAGAAGTTCCCCAGCTTGGTGTATTTTTCAGATTTTGGTGCAAGTTTATGAATAAACTATACTCCTCTACCCTGGGGACTGAAGTCAGATCTGTGGTCGTGGGAATCTTTTTCTTTCCCACACCGTCCTGCATTTTAAAAATTCCTGTGCAGACAGTCCCGCCATACTGTAGCTGTTCTTCTTTACACACCACTTTCCCTGGAGAGAGGTGGTTAAAAATTCAAATCAGGTTCTTCCTAGTCTGTGTTCATATCATCTAGAGACCTAGTGTTTCTGTGAAGTTGTCAGTACATGCCTCAGTCAAGGACAGTGGAACAGCAGAAGAGAGCGAAGGAAAGCACTTTCCACACGTGAGTAGAACCAGCACTGAGCATGAACCAGCGCTGAGCATGCAGTTCACTGTTTAAGTCGTTGCTTTTTACATTATCTCCAGTACACCCATGAAGATGGAAACCATGTGCAGTATCCATATGCAGAGTATGTGAATGTACGTATCTGCGTTCATGAGTGCCAAAGCGTGCAAACACCTCCCAGGTGTCTGTCATCTGAGGAGCATGGAAGCAAGGCCAGGTCCAGCCACACTATGGGATATTGTTCAGTCATAAGAAGGAAGAATTGATATCTGTAGGAAGAACTAGACACAAAAGAACCTATGTTAGAGGGAGCCTGTGTATGTAAGACGTTCACAATAAGCAGATCCATGAAGACAAAAAGCAGAATGGGGATTGTGCAGTGTGCTGATGCCGTGGGGTGTCCGGGCAGCTGAGACAGCCTGCATGCAGTTAGTGTAGCAGCTGCACAGTTCGGAGAGCTCTAAAACCACGGAATTGTAAACTAAACTCTGTCCTTTTTAAGATTCATATGTATTTTTATTTTATGTGCATGAGTGCATGCATGCCTGTAAGTGTACTACATGCATGCCTAGTTCCCATGGAGGCCAGAAGAGGATGTCTGTAACTGGACTTGCAGACAGTTGTGAGCTGCTGTGTGGGTGCTGGATCCAATCCTGGGTCCTCTGGTAGAGTAGCCAGTGCTCTTAACCTCTGAGCCATCTCTCCAGCCCCTTCTCATTGTTTTTCAAAGTACACCCAAATGGTATATTCCATTTATCCTACAAACGCCCAGGTCAGTATTTCACAGTGCACGGACCGTACCACTTACAGAGGGTCACTTATGTGATCCCACTCTTCTATCCTGGTTCAAACAGAAGCAGAACTCAAAGAACCAAGAACAGAGAGTCAAGAATGGTGAATTGTGCTCCTGATGCTTCCTGCGGAGTCCTCCTGCCAGGGCTTACCACAGGGAAGGGCCTGGTGGTCATATAGCTTCCTGACAGCCGGTTTTTCCTCTGCTCCCAGCAGGGTGTCCCATTCACATAGTTGCTCAATGAATATGTGTTCAATGAATGTTGACTCAAGGAGAGATGGGCATGTGGGAGATCTTTCTAAGCCTAAAGCCCATAGTAATGAGGTTAGGACACCAAAATATTCCTATCTGTGATCATTTAAAATAATTTAGATGTTGAACTTGATGCATTCCTAATTCATGACCTTACTGAATCCATTTGTTTTCTAGGACTTCCAGTATTAAAACACGTGCTGACACCAAGAATAAAGGCAACTCACGTTGCTTTTGATTCTATGAAGAGTAATTTAGATGCAATTTATGATGTCACAGTGGTTTACGAAAGGAAAGATAAAGGGCCAGGAAAAAAGTCACCATCCATGACTGGTAAGCCCATGTTTCTGTGTACTTGAAACTGAGCAGTAGACTGTGCAGGTACGATATAAATTCATTTTTTAAAACTTGGTAAGTGAGCCAGGCATGGTGGCTCATGCCTTTAATCCCAGAGCTCGGGAGACAGAGGCAGGTGCATATCTGTGAGTTCAAGGCCAGCCTGGTCTACATAGCGAGTTCCAGGCCAGCTGGGGCTACAGGGAGACCCTGTCTTGAAAAGACGTAAAAAAAAATGATGAAATTAAAAAGGTCTGTTCCATAGAAGTTACTGATCAGAGAAAGAAAATATACACCATCAACAGGAGAGAATGTTTGAAAACCTGATAAATCAAAAGGGTTTTGAGAGAGAGTAGCTTAGGTAATTGCCACAAACATAAACATTTGTACATGGGCCCAGGTGAGCACTGGAGACTGCTGGCCCTTTACCCCGGTCATATTTTTGGGAGAGCTGGTGTACTTGTCAGGGCTCGCCAGCTGGGTGTCAGAACCTTACCAGCCTGTTTCTATTTAAGCTTGCTTCTGAGGCATTCCTGTGATTGTGATTGCCTGACCATTGCACACAGTAGCATTTTATCTGCAGTGAAACCGTCATAGAAGAAAACGTTACACCCTGAACACTTTACTGATTTCTGCCTGATCCCCTTTTGCCTCCCAGAAGTAACCATGTCTCTTACTTACGTAGGTTGTGTGCAGATTTAAATATATAGCCTTACTATGCCATCCTTACTTTTTTTTATAAAGAAGTTGGGCATTTATATTCTCTTTTTAATCACTAAAGGAGTCATTGGCCTATCTTTATACTTAAAAACAGCCACGTATTTTCACCATATCTCCTACTGGTCGTGAGAACTTAGTTTGTCAAAGTTTATAGATATGATAGGATACTTGCCTCCTTAGCCTGCTGCCCAGGCCCCCGAGGTCCAGCTCTGCCCTTCTGTGCCGTCATCTCTGCTGTGGTGAGAGGCTTTGTGTAGGTCAGTCCTCCTTCCATAGGAGGCTCCTTCTCTAGGAAGCACCTTCCACAGGAGGTACCTTCCCTTTGTTACCCTCATCTGGTGGCCTTCCCCTTAGAATTAACCCCAGGTGGTGTCTTTCTGAGGTCATTGACTTGTTAGTGCTCGGGGACCCTCCACATGTAGGGTCCGCAGTGACAGCCGTACTAGTGGTACTTGGCCTGCGACTAATTCATCTTTTCCGCAACATGTGTAAGTGCCCCAAGGAAACAACCTGCTTTGGCACCCGGTCCTTCTGCCTGACTCTCTTTGTGTACGCCAGCTGCATTGGGTAGCTCTACTGTATTCGTTACATGTGGTCTGCCTGACTGTGTATGCAGCAGTGGCCAGATTGGGCCTGTCCTCTGTTCGTTACATGTGGTCTTGCTGAAGTGGCTGGTTCACAGTTTAGCACTCCTGCAGCACGCAGGAAAGAAAAGTCTCTGAATTTGGAATGGCTTTTTTTTTGTCTTTTTGAAGCAGGGTCTCCCTGTAGCCCCAGCTGTCCTGGAACTCATTATGTAGACCAGGCTTGCCTTGAATTCACAGAGATCCACCTGCCTCTGCCTCCCAAGTGCTGGGACTACAGGTGTGTGCCACCACGGCCGGCTTGGCTTATTTTTTTTAACTGAACGGTTTTATGTTTATTGATTCAGAATTTCATGTGTGTATACAATGAGACATGATCGTATTCACCCCCGTTCCTCCTCCTGACCCTCCCATATCCTCTCAGGTTCATGTCCTCTTTCTTTTTTATTTTTAAAAATAACTCATGAAGTCCAAATAGTGCTTCCCATATGTGCATGGTGTGGGCCATCCACTGGATCACAGATGTAGGACCTACCAGTGGCCGCACCCTTAACGAAGAATGACCCTCCCTCAGCAGTTACTGGTGATGGTTGATCTTGACAGTCAACTTGATGGGATGTGCTATCAACTAAGAGACACATCTTTGGTGGGTCTGAGGATATTTCCCAGAATGATGACTTAATGGAGGAAATCCTCCCCAGAGTGGACAGTCCTTCTGAGAGCAGGCCGGATGTGAAGCGGTTCAGAGAAAAGCCACTGCTGCCTTCCTCCCTTTGCTCTTGCTCTGCAGCGTATCTCCCCGCTGCTGCCGCTGCTGCGCCCTGTGTCGACCTCACTCCTGCTTGCTGGCCTTCCGTGTGGGCTGGTCTCTAGCCACTCTCCAGGGGTCTTCCAGGCCTTCAGCACCAGATTAGGATTGCTGAGGGCTCCAGCTTCATGGACTGAGGCTGCCAGTCCCTAAGCCTCTCCAGCATGCAGTGTTGGACTAACCCCATCGATTATAAGCCATTCTAATAAATTCCCTTTAATTTTATATCTGTATAGAATTAAATATATGTACACATGATTATGTATGCATGCATATACACATAGTTATGTATACATATATACACACATATCCTGTTGGTTCTGTTCCTCTTGAGACTTGCCTAATACATAAGTCAATTCATGGAATAATTCTACAAGGAGAGAGATGGCAGAGGAGTAAGATCAGGACTGAGGCCAAAGGTGTTACAACGTAGATACAGAAAATTGTTCACTAATGACTAAAAATGTTCCTACAAACTGGTAACAAGATGACCAGTAACTCAAAGGAAATCAATAAAGGATCAGAACTGAGAATATGTTTAACCTTATTCAGAAGAGAAATGCAAGTTAGGGCTGGGCAGGATGACTTAGCACCATGCAGGTCTGACTCCTGGGGTTCAGTCTCTGCATCCCAGGTGGACGGAGAGAACAGAACCACTGAAAGGTGTCCTCTGAGCTCCACGTGCATGCGGTGGCACTCAGGAATTCCACTCAACGTATCACCCACACATGCACACAGTAGTAGTCATTTAGTTCAAGTTGTTGATATTGGGACACTTTTCTGGCCTGCCAGATTGACAAGAATCCAAGGTTTGCTAACAGAATCAGTGGGTAAGAATGACACAGTCTTTACCAGTGGTACAACAGACACTTTGATACTTTGCTTTGAGGAATGCTAGACAGCTTTTATCTAAAGTCTGCCCAATTTACAATGCTGCATTTTAGATTTCCCACATCTGAGACAGTATTCTGGGGCTAGGGGATGGGGGATGTTTGTATCAGTGTATATACAAGAGATTTTACCATTTTCCTTGTGATTTACTAATATTAATTGAGTTGTGACCTGTAGCTTAAAAAGTCCTGACTTTATATAAATCAACTAGTGCTTAAGCCTAGTTATAATGTGCTAAAGATTTCATTTATTATTTTTATTTTATATATATGAGTGTATTGCCTGCATGCATGTAAGTGCACCCATATTGTGCCAGCGAAGGTCAGAAGAAGGTGTTGGATCCCCTGGAACTGGAATTAAGGACAGTTGTTGGCTGCCATGTGGGTGCTGGGACTCAAACCTGGGTCCTCTGCAAGAGCAGCTGGCGCCCCTAAGGGTTGCGCCATCTCTCCAGCCCTAGATTTAAAAAAATATTTTATTTTTATTTTATGTATGTAAGTGTATTGCCTGCATGTATGTAATGCCCATGGAGGTCAGATAAGGGCTTTGGATCCCCTGGAACTGGAGTTACAGGTGGTTGTTAGCCGCCATGTAGGTGCTGGGAATCAAACCCAGGTCCTCTGCAAGAGCAACCAGTTCTCTTAAGCACTGAGCCATCTCTCTAGCCCCATGTGCTAAAGATTTTTAAATGAGTAATCTTTAAGATTATTTTTATTTTTTTTAGTTATGTATGTATGTGTATGTCTGTGTGTCTGTCTGTGTCTGTGTGAGGGTATATGTACCTGCAATGGGTACCCAGAGCCAAAAGGCATAGGATCCCCAAACCTAAGAGTTACAGGCAGATGTGAGCCACCCAGCCTGAGTGCTGGGAACCAGGTTCAGGTCTTCTGCAAAAGCAGTTTGCACTCTTAAGCACCGAACCCTCTCTCCAGCCCCTGCGTTGCGTTACGAAATAAGTTGTATTATGTCCAATATTCCTCAGCTTGGAACTACGATTACTTTGTGAGTTTTCATATGAAATAAACACATATTGTGGGTCATCATTCATATTTACACTTTATAGCTCAGTGGAAAAAGTTTTCATGAAGTTGCTAGATTGTTCATTTCTATGCTAAAGGTCAGTGTTTCTCAAACCACTGTAGGAAGATGATAGATCCATCTCGCTGTTTATCCCAGGCTGGCCTTGAAATGATGATCCTCCTGCTTCAGCTGCCCAAGTGCTAGGGTTATAGGTGTGTATCACCACACCTGGCCTCCTTCATTCAATTAACTGGTTATATTTTTTTAAAGATACTTTTTAATGTGTAGCAGTTGCAGTTTCCAGTCTATGAGAGATGTTCAACATGCAGGGCTCTGCCTCCCTGAAGACTGCAGGTAGAGCTGGGAAGCCTGGAAGCCACCTAGTGGGTCGACGAGCTTCCCACACTGTGATGGCCAAGGCCTTCTCGAGCAGAGGGGCATCCTGAGCAGAGGGGCAACCGGCAGTGTCCTTGTCCTTCCTATGTCTGTCGTGTGGTGGGCCTGGTTGGGGGGCGTCCTGTGCTGGCTCCTCTCCCTAGTCACCAGTAATTCATGGAAGGTGCATAAAGCAGAGTTGGCATAGAGAGGTTTGATTACAGTCCAGTTTTGGTTTGGTTTGGTTTGGTTAGAATCCATAGGCATGTCATAGAGGAAGGCCAGTGGCTCCTCTGGTTGGGGTGTCAGCAGAGACTGATGATGGGCAGCCAAGCTTGGGGTGTCAGGCACACTGTGTGCTAATGCATTTTCACTTTAGCTTAGTACTCCAAGTCACAAGTCTATAGTCTTTTTTAACTTAAGAAAAATTATATTTGTTTTAAGTTACTTATTTATGAATTCTAAAGTGGTAACAAGGTGAAATCTTTTTGTTGTTTCTTAGAATTTCTCTGCAAACAGTGTCCAAAACTCCATATTCACATTCATCGCATAGACAAAAATGAAGTCCCAGAGGAACAAGAACATATGAAGAGATGGCTTCACGAGCGCTTTGAGATAAAGGACAAGTAAGTCACATCGTTCAGCGTTTCTTACAGTAGACTATTTGAAGAGGTTTTTATTGTTTAGAGAATACTTTATTATCTGTAATCAGACCCTCATAGATAAAGCCTTACATATTTAATATTAATATTTAACAGCACAAAAATTAAACATTTCTAGGCCAGTATGGGTGTTAATTTCTGTTCAGTGCCAACTCAACACAGTAAACTTGGAAACATTTTTGCCAAAGTTGACCGCCCAGCTAAAGTGAAAGTGAAATGCACACTGTTTCAAGAATGCTTCTTCTAAGCTCATGTTACCTCGGGCTCCATCCTCGTTTGCTCCTGTGTTGGACGTTTATAAGTCACTGTGGTGGCATGTGCGATGGTGGGCTACCTGCAGTGTTTTCTGGACAGTACTCTGTGGTAAGACATAAAAGAACCTTTGGGATGTTGTGTGCTCCCCTGTACTCTGTCAGATAGCACAGTTTCTAGGAGGACCGGCCTCCATGCTGCTTTTACAGGGAAGAGCAAGGTTATGGGAGGAGAGACGAGTTCAGGCAAACACAACTCTAGGGTGTTTGTGGGAAGAGGAGGGGCAGTTGGTGTCTTCACATTGTTTCTGAGTTAAATGAAAATTATTAAAACTGTAACAGATGTAAAAGTTACTGGGGCTGGAGAGATGGCTCATTGGTTAAGAACACTGGCTATTCTTGCAGAAGACCCTGGTTCAAATCCCAGCACCCACATGGCAGCTAACAGCTGTCTGTAACTCCAGTCCCAGGGGATCCAACAGCCTCTTTTGACCTCCATGGGCATTGCACGACACAGGTGCACTTACCTACATGCAGGCAATACATGCGTAAACATAAAATAAAAATAAAAATAATTTAAAAAAAAACTTATCTATTGCACTGTGTCATGTTTGTACCTGATGTAATTTGTTAAGGCAGCAATTCAGGACCAGTTTGGTGATGGGAGAAACGTAAAAAGTAAGCTCTCTGTGTACTCATAGGAAAGTCTGTGTTCAGAAAAAGATGAAGCGATGTTTAAGATCCGCTTTATATATTACAGACACTTGTAGTATTCAGGGTGAGTCTGGACATTATCTCTAGAAATAACACTTTTTGTTTTGTTTTGGTTTTTTGTTTTGTTTTGTTTTGTTTGGGTCTTTTTGAGACTGAATCTCCTTGTAGCCCCAGCTGGGGTGGAATTCGTTTTGTAGACCAGGCTGGCCTCAAACTCATAGAGATGAGGCCACCTGCCTCTGCCTGCCTCTGCCAGGACTCAAGGCGTGCGCCACCACGCCTGGCTGTTTTTGTTGGTTTGAGACAGGTTTTCACTATGTAGCCCCAGCTGGCCTGAAACTCACTATGTGAACCAGACTGGCTTGGAGCTCCCAGAGATCCGCCTGCCTCCACCTCCTGATGAGAGGTATGTGCCATCATGCCCAGCAGACAGGAATACGCTTTACAAGGCAATAGAAGTGCTTTCTCATTCTGTACTTTTAAGGGTGGAGGGGAATGAATGCACTGTTCTTTATTCCTTTTGTCTGCGTTTATAATTACATGGGAATAAGAACCTTGGGAGTTAAAGTCCATGTATGTAGTAAACTTCTTTTCTTTGACTTTGAGAGCTTTTCTGCAGGGGGTGGGAAGGCAGTACCGGGAATTGAACCGAGGGCCTCCCGTGTTAGGCAAGCCCTTTACTGATGAGCTATTTCAACCCAGGCCTTTTGTTGGGGTGGTAGCCGAGGAAGAAGGAAGAAGAGCTGGTAGGTCATGAGCCAAGTGAGTCAGTTTGGCATAAAATCATACGTGGAAAGGTAAACACAAAAACATCCTCATCAAATAGCTTAAAACCATGTATTTTAAAATTCTCTTCATTCGTGGTAGTAGTGATAGAATCGTGGGTAAGCGCTTCTGCGGCACCAGGACTCTGAGTGTTTCCTCACTTACCCTCATTTTCCATGGATCTGTACCTCCCCAGCAAATGACTGTTATCCAATAGATGATTCTTTTGAACTTCAACATCGAAGTGTCTTCAAACTGAAAGTGTAAATTTTAATGTTTTCATTCGGCCGTAGGTTGCTCATAGAATTCTATGACTCACCGGATCCAGAAAGAAGAAACAGATTTCCTGGGAAAGGTGTTCACTCCAGACTAAGTGTCAAGAAGACTTTACCGTCGATGTTGGTCCTAGGTAGCCTGACTGCTGGCTTGCTCCTGACTGAAACTGGGAGGAGACTGTATGTGGGCACCTGGGTATATGGAACCCTTCTTGGCTGCCTGTGGTTTGTTGTTAAGGCGTGAGGGGTACAGGCCCCAGTCGCTGCCCCCCATTGTCGCTGCACATCATATTTCCTGGATAAGACGTTTCAATAAAGCCTTGTTGATTAAACACTGATAAGTAGAATTTCTGACTAAAGCCAGCATGCAGTTTGGTTTGGGACAGACGTACGTGACTTTTCCACTTTTGTGCTGAGGTTGCTGGAAAGGTAAAAGCTAAGTGGAGTTTTTCCTATTTATGATCTCCATGAACTAATAGCAACTTCTGAAGATGATTAGGATTGTGTAATTTACCATCGTTTGTAATTCAGATGACCATATTTTACTATATAGATTTTCAGTTCTTAGTACTTGACAGCTCAGACTCCTATCACTAAAGTATTTGTATTTTGAAGCTGACGGTCTGCTTAAGACCCACAAGTCAATGAAAGACATAATTAGGTATAGAGATGTTCAAAAAGAAGTGTTTGTGGGAAGATCCACGTCTTCTCTTACTGTGTCACGCTGTTATGCTCATTTTACTTTATAATGCAAAGCAGTGGCCATTGCCATTGTTTATTAAAATTGCTTAATTTTCATTCCCTTTATTCTACACAAAAGAATAATGTATGAAATATCAGGATGGACTTTAAGCTAAGACTGTGATTGTTCCTTTTATATGGAAATCGTTGGTGTGGGAAGTTCTCTTGGATGGAGTACACAGTCAGTTCAGATGACGGACGGCCCGGGCCTTCTGACTAGATCTACTCCAGGTCTCTCCCTGTTTCTCTGCTCGAGTTCCACGTTCGGTCGGGATCACCTGCCACTCTCATGGTAGCTTTCTGCTTGTTCCAGTCCTTTCTCTTTGTCTTCATTCCCTTTGGTGGTGCTGTTCAGGTTGGGGCTGCAGCCGGTGTTGCCCTTCTCCAGAGGGCATGTCTCTGGCTCCTGTGGTTGAGCCTCCCCAACTACTACAGAGGCATTCTGTACTTGTTTGAGGCAAGAAATTCAACTTCCCAGTGAAGTATAGAGATGCTCCTGAGGACTGGATATTTGCTGTTTCTTGTTAGTCTTAATGGGCACAGTGTGGGCGCTCAGGCGGCACCTGAGGGCAAGAGCTGCCTTGCAGGACCCCAGCTCCTGACTTATGGTCAGACGCAGTGCATTCCACGGAGGGAGGCTCTCTTGAAGTTTGATCTGGTCTACTCTGATGGTGTGACTTAGGCACGATTGCCCAGTAGTCCTTTAAGAGAGCATCTCTGCTTTTCTGTCACAAGATAATTACACCAATGACCCAAATAAATAGATAAACTGATTCACAGTAAATTTTATATTGTTTTTCCAAAACCAGGGAACGCGTCATCTCGGGTAACATCGTCTTTCAAGAGACATGTGCTGTCAGTTGGTTTCTGTACATTAGGATGCATATATACATATATGTGTGTATACATGTATGTATAGATAACATTCATATATACATATAACCATAGACTATAGCTGGCTTAGTTACAAATAGGAGCACAAGTCAGTCTTGTGTATCAGGTTACCGTGCTGAATTGTTTTTTACTTACAAAGTGAAATTTTAGATCAATCCCATGTCCTTGTTAAACACAGTTTTTTTGTTTTGTTTAGCAGACCTAATTTTAGAGCTTATTTCTCACTAAGTCAAAGTAAGTACAGGTTGTGAAACTTTAGGTATCATGGATGGAAGCTGGAGTGCTCGCTCAGCAGTCAAGAGCACTTGCTGCTCCTGCAGAGGACTGGAGTTCAGTCCTCAGCACCCTGATTGGGTGCATCGCAACCACCTGTAGCTTCAGGAGATCCCACATCTTCTGGCCTCTACAGGCACCCACATGTGCATGTGTACACACATAGAAATAGATCTTTGAATATCATGGATGTGCTTTGCATTTAAATATTAAGAGACAGTACCATTGGAATTGCATGGGTTAAAACTGATTTTTTTTAATTTATTTAATTTTATTTTTATATGTATGTCTTGCTTGCATATATGTATGTAAGTGCACCATATGTATGCAATGACTGCAGAGGCTAGAAGAGGGCATTGGATCCCCTGGAACTGGAGGTATGGATGGTTGTTAGCTGTCATTGGGTGCTGGGGACCCTTCTCCAAGAGCAGCCAGTACTCTTAATTGCTAAGCCATCCCTCAAGCCCTTCCTCCCTTTTAAAAGATTTATTTGTTTTTACTTTATGTGTGTAAGTGTTTGCTTTTATGTAGGTATACCTAGTGTGTGTGCAGTGCCCACAGAGGCCAGAAGAAGGTATCAGCTGCCATGTGGGTGCTGGGACTCGAACCCGGGTCCTTTGCCAGAATAAGTGCTCTTAACCATTGAGCCTTTCCTCCAACCCCCTGATTTTTTAAAACAGAGCAAAGTGGCCTGCATATGGTCTCTTGAATATGTTTCTTAGAACCATTCTTCTCACAGACTATAAAATGTGATAGTCTTTTAAAAGTTTGTTAGGAAAAATTAAGTCTTCTGCTTAATGTAACTTGACATAACTGTTTTCTGGAAATTAAAAGTCTACCTGTGAATCCTTTCACATACTACAGTTGTTTTTTTTTTGTGTGTGTGTTGCTGTCGACCTAAAGTTTAGGGCTGACACCACTTCCTTTATGAGTGCCATCCACATGCATGCTTTTATGTTTTACAGGAAAGGGTGTTTGTGCGACAGTAAGAAAACAAATAAACTCTGTCCTTGTCTTGCATGTCTGTGCTGTTTCATGTTTCCTGACTGGGTATTGGGCAGTTGTGTAACACACAGAAGGTGAGTGAGGAGCCATGCACTTATGTGCCCTGTATGTGAGCCTTCTGAAGTGATGCAGCTATGGTATTTTTAAGTATCGAGCAAAGTTTTAAAAAACTATGATGAACTGCCCCAACCTGTGAAGCAGTCAGCAGTGGGACCCCATGAGCTAGTCTGTGTATGTGGAGGCCATATGGCCCTGCGGCCCTTTTGGCAATTCTGTCATCAGCAGGTGACCAGGAGGGAAGCGTGAGTAAAATTGCCAGCCTGGCTGATGTTACTTGTATGATCTTTTTTTTAAAACTTTGTGTCAGTTTTTCTTCAAAATTTACGTATGCATGTTTTCCTTTATAATATTACACACTTTATGCTTAGATTTTCTGAATAGATCTAAATAAATCAAATGGCCTAGCTAGGTTAGCTATTGAGAAAAAAAAAATAAGGGCTGGAGAGATGGCTGAGCAGTTAAGAGCACTGATTGCTCTTGCAGAGGACACAGGTTCAGTTTCCAGCACCCACATGGTGGCTAACAACCATCCATGACTCCAGTTCCATGGGATCCAGCGTCCTCTTCTGACCTCTGTGGGCCTTGCACAAAATGGGTGCACTTATACACATGCAGACTCATACACATAAAAATAATAAAGAAAAAATAGAAATATGAAGTATGCATACATTTTGGCACAAAGTAACTCCTGTGTGCCATATCCACGTTTGAAAGGACAGAAATGTTTCTCAAGATACTACTTCAGGTGTACAATTAATTGCAAGTATACAGTAAAGGTTTTAATCTTGCAGATTTGGTTTTGAAGTGTTTACATTGAAGATCAGCTCTACGGTTTTCTTGTCAGGTATTCCAGATACCAGTTTATAGAGAGCTCTGTGTCTTCATCAGAGGATGGTTTTTCCTTTGTGTTTTGGATTAAATATTGACTGACTTAAGAGCTATCAGTTTTATATAATTTGCATTGTAGACAGGGTACATAACACTCAAGTATAAGGATGAAAATCAGTACTTTGTGGAAGCTAATATTTTGAATATTCAGAATTTGATATTAAGTAGATAAAATGCTTGTGTGATTGAATTTAGAACTTTGTACTCCGGTATCACTGGGTTATCTATGTTTGTAATCTGAGGGCTTAGGAAACTGAGGCAAGTTTGAGCTCAGCCTGCTCTGTATAGTGAGCACCCGGCCAGTCAGGGCTACATAATGAGACCCCCCCCACACACAAATCATGGGTGACTTTTATACAGAATTACTTTCTATTTAGAAGAGGTGGGACTAAAAGACATTGTCGTTGAGATTTCACTTGACATCTTTTTCGGTTTGTGCATACTGAAGTAATTCTGTTGTTTTTAACAATTGCGGAGTCATACACCAGGGAGTTTTATAAGAGGCCAGAGATCTACCTGTCATATAATATACCTCATATAACATATACATATATCTGTAGTGTACTTTTTTTTTTTCCCCCTTTGGTCTTTTTGAGACAGGGTCTCCCTGTAGCCCCAGCTGGCCTGGAACTCTATGTAGACCAGGCTAGCCTTGAACTCACACAGATCCACCTACCTCTGCCTCCCAAGTACTGGAACTAAAGACATGCACCACCATGCCTGGCATGTCTGTAGTTTAATTACATCTGATTGTTACCCTGAACAGAGTTGTTCTTTTGAAGTGCTGTTCAAGTAGAAAGCTCAGGTACGTCTTATGCATCAAAGAAATCTGACACCAGAGCAGACTCATACATGTTTATTGATTATGAGACAGACCAGTGTGTCATTCAGACTACTGGTTTATGATTTACTATGTGACTGTGTATAGGAAAGATATTCTACAGTTTTATACATCTTCATATCTAGAAAGTAAAATGCAGATGCTACTGATACACTACACTGAGAAATGCTTGATTATCTTGTTTCCTTAAGGTATCTTCAGAATGATTTCTAATAGGGTTAACCGGGGTCATCATTGCTTCACTAATTCAGAAGAGAGGGAAACCATGAATCTCAAAACTTAGTTATTTGAAAATAAAAATCTGTTGACAAAACGTTACGGTGGGCTGGAGATGTGGTTCGGTGGTTAAGAGCACTTGCTGCTCTTGCAGAGGACCCTGGTTGGTTCCAGGCACCCACATGGGGGAGGCTCACAGTTCTGACCTTCTGACACATGTGCACATATAGACAAGCAGACACAAATACACATAAATAAAAATAAATACAATTATTTGGGGAGGCTGGAGAGATGGCTCAGTGGTTAAGAGCGCTAACTGCTCTTGCAGAGGACCCAGGTTCGATTCATAGCACCCACATGGCAGCTAACAACCATCTATAACTCCAGTTCCAGGGGATCTGATGCCTTCTTCTGACCTCC